AGCCCCTCTGCCCCTCTGCCCCTCTGCCCCTCTGCCCCTCTGCCCCTCTGCCTCTGCCTCTGCCTCTGCCTCTGCCTCTGCCTCTGCCTCTGCCGAGTCTTACCCCCCACTCACCTCCTTTCCCCTCTACTTTGCAGATGCCAGCACGTATGCACATTACCTCTTCAATGCCTTCGACACCACCCAGACAGGCTCTGTAAAGTTTGAGGTTAGTATGTGGGTCCAGTCTGGGGGATCCCCTGGTTCCACATTGCCTCTCCTTCCAAATATGACAGTCCTGGTGGAAAGAGTGAATTATCAAAGGTCTTCAGTTAAGACAAAAAACTTGATTCATTTAACAAACAGCACCTGAAGTCAGAGAAGATGCTTTCCTTGTTGTATAGACACTGAGCATGGGGGTGGTAGAGACAGACAGCCTAAGAGATCCCTTGTGCTCCGAGTGCTGAGTGGACCTAGCCTTTTGTATTTATTAACCTGTTTAACTTTTATAATAGTGCTTCCCAGGCATGGTCGGATTATTATTTATTATTATTATTTTACAGAACAAGAAAATGAGGCAGAGACAGAGTGGCTTTTCCAAGATCAAAGAGAGAAAGAAAGTAGCCAGAGAGTCCTTGAATACGGGCAGTGTGTTTCCTCAGCCTGTGCTCAAAACCACTGGAATGTACAGCCCTCAGATGTTAGCAACCATTGCAGCTACAGGTTAGGATCAACAAAGGAGACTGAATTAACTGTCTAGAGGTGTCCACACATGCAGAGCTCAAACCGTCCTCAGGGGGCATCAGGAACTGAGACAGTGTAGGTATGGGGAATGGAAGATAGGATTGGACCTGGCTGGGACTGGCCATTTCCATCTGGCTAACAAGAAGGTGTGGAAGGTGTCATTTTGTAAAAGCAATCAGGCTTCTCTCCACCCACGCAGTGATTAACATGAGGCCCTACTTCTCCACTTCTTAGGACTTTGTGACTGCTCTGTCGATTTTACTGAGAGGGACAGTCCATGAAAAACTAAGGTGGACGTTTAATTTATATGACATCAATAAAGACGGCTACATAAACAAAGAGGTAAGTGAACTGAGAGCAGGAAACATGAGATGAACGCAGTAGAAGCTCTGGAATCAAAAGCAACCCCAGACCCAGGAAAATGTGAATCCATCCCTAGCAATGTGAAGAAGCCCAATGCTGACATCCCCTGCCCAACCCCTCCCTGATGCTCAGGAAGCTGTCAAGCCGTTCCTCTCAGGCCCACACAGATGCGATGGGCTGAGACTGTCTTGTTTCAGGGTTAAGATTCTTCTCAGGAAACCTGCATCTCCCCTGAGAAGCAGTCTCACATTAAAGCCCAATATGAGCTTGGAAGGCTGAAAGAAGTGCCCAGAAAAGAGCAGAGAGTTAAGACAGAGGTGACAACTGCCAGATCCCATTACCCACAGCCCATTCTGCCTAATAAAACCAAAGAAGGGGAAAGTTTGGGATAGTGGGTAGCTGTCTCAAAAAACAACCACCACCACAACAACAAAAAAAAAAAAACAAAAAAACAAATGACAAAAACCCAGAATATCAGAATCTTCACTGCTTCACTCAGAGCCTTGGTGCATGTGTGTCACCAGTGCACCACCCACGGGCTGTCACTCAAGTCACTGGATGTCAGCTGTGTGCACCCTAGGAGCTTGAGGATAACATTTGGGGCATCGCCTTGCTGAACTCTTGTATCTCAGGCATGACGCCTGGAGCTGTGAAGATCACCTCTGACCTTCACTTCAACACTGCAGGGTTCTCTTCATGTAGAGGAAGAGCTCACACCTAGAATGTATACACAGCCACATTCTGTATTCATCCAGTCACAGATGTTCAGCGCAGATTTGAGAATTCATTCCATTTCCTGGGTGTTGGAGACAAAATGGGGAACAATCAGCCCAAGTCTGACTGTCACGAGGTGGTAGAATAGGATGGACAGTCACAGCAAAACGTAGAATGACAGGTTTTGGTAAGAGTCAGCAAGGGGCTGTCTAAGATGGTATTGTCATACCAAGGGAAAGTCACCCCCAAAATCAGGAAAAGTGTCCCAGGAAGAAGGAACAGCCGCTAGAGGGGTTCTCAAGGAAGATGGGTTCCATATGCCCTCCAAACAGAGAGGCTTGCTGGTGGCTGCAGGGTATGAGGGTATGGAATAAAAGCATGACAGGCTTCAGCCTGGAAGATTATAGGGTTCAGACTGCGGAAGGCTGGGGTTGAGAGTCCACTCTACCTACTGGGAGTTCAACAGAGTTTTCAGGAAACACTAACTACTAAAGATGATTCAAAAACAGAAGGAAGATTTGAATAGTTCCCTGTCACTAAGAGAGGTAAAATTCGTATTAAAAATCTCAGAAAAGCTCAGGCTCCTCAGATTAGTTTCTGGTGACTTCTAACACAAACCTACAAAGTGAGGTGCAAGGAACTTTCCAATGTTTTTTTTAAAGTCGAACAATACCCCAATTCTGAAACTTGAAATAAAAACGGTCTTATGGAGAAGACAACTAGCATTATCTCTCATGATGACAGGTGCAAAAAGCCTATCAAAACATTACCAAACTGAAGCCATCAATACATTAAAAAATACTGTATAGTGTAAGTAAGGCTTATTCCAGGAATGCAAGGTTGCTTTAACACACAAATATCCATGTCATTCACTATATTTACACAACAAAAAGAAAAATTGTATTAACTCAATAAATGCAGAAAAAGCACTTGATAAAATCGCTACCCATTCATGGTAAAGTTTTTAACAAATGAAAAATAGAAGATCCTTTTCTCAGCCTAGTATCTGATAACTATTTTTAAAAATCCTGCAGCTAACATCTGCTTAATAGTGAATACTTCATAACTTTCCCCAAGGTCAAGAATGAAACAAGGAACTGAGGTAAGAAAAAAATAAAGTTTTATCTGTAATAAGCTTGAATTCACAGAAAACAATTCATAGAAACCTCAAAGAATCTACAAAAGAATATCAAAGGAACTACTAGAAAGAATCATGAACTTATTTATCAAGGTATTCAGATATAAATTCTAGTTTTTTAAAAGCAATATGCGTGTGTACTATGTTTTAAATGATTCTACTTATGACGGCATCCATATGCACAGAATTTTTTGATAAATTCACAAAATTGATGTAAGACTTCAATACAAAACCACAAACTATTGATGAAAATTAAGACCTAAGTGGACAGGTGAGCCATGCTCATCTGTGTAACTACCCAACAATGTTAAAATGGAGACTCTCAAAAATTCAGCTTGTAGATTCAGTCTAGTCTCAACCAAATACCCAGCAGACCCTTTATAGAAACTGATAAATTGTTATAAAATGTAAATGCAAGAACCACAACAACCAAGAAGAAAAAAGGCAGAGGCCTAAAGCTACCTCATCCCAAGAGTAACGTGCACGTGTAGAGATGACCATTCTGGAGACTTGGCATTGTGGTAGGCACACCACTTACCAGATCAAGATGGATGGTCCAAAGGGATCCTGGACCTGTGGCTCAGCTGCACAGCACTTGCCTTGCAAGTGTAAGACTCTAGGGTTGATCCCCTTCCATAAACAGACTTCTCTTTATTGTCATTCCAAAAAAGATAACTGAAACAAAAGAGAATACAACAATGTCTTGAACAAATGGTTCTGAGCCAACACCTAAAATTAACATGGGTCTTCACCTTTACTTCATGTCAGAAGCAAATATTAACATGAAGTGGATATACACATAAACTCATGCTCAAACACCATTGTAGTAAAGAATGCATAGGAGAAACATCCTCACTAGTTCAGAGTAAGAAAGAACATCTTAGGGCAAGTAAGAAGAGATCATGAAAGAAAATCTGATGTTTCTCTTCATCAAAGTTATAATTTTCTGTTCTCAAAAGATCCCATTAGATTGGGGAAATGGCTCGTAAATTGCTATTATATGATAGAAGACTGAGGTCCAAATACATAAGAAATGGTCATAATTTTATAAGAAAATAAACAAGTCCACTAAAAGTACATAGTAAGGGCTCAGAAGCCAAGATGGCTCAGATGGTAAAGGCACATGCTGCCAAGCCTGACAACCTGAGTTCGATCTCTGGAACCCACATGCTAGTAGGAAAACACTGACCCCTGACCCTTGACCTCTGCCTTCTACTCATGTCTTGTGACATACATGTCCCAACACACAAAATAAATGTTTTTAAAAACAATAATAATACAACAAAATCTTTAAATAGATTTTTAAAAAGTTAAATAGATACTTCAGAAAATATTAGTAAGTGGAAAATAGACCTAGGAAAATGACTTCACATGTATGGTGTTCAAGGAAATACAGATTTTTTAAACTATAACAAACAATAATTATGCATGTACTAAAATGGCCGCAAATAAAAGGCCAACAATTCCAAGTGTAGGCGAGGATGTGGAACAGTTAGAAACTCTTACACACTGCTTATGGAAAACAATGTAACCCTTACTATGTAGGAAACATTTTAGCATCTGAAATAAAGTTAACATCCAATTAATATATGGCCCAAAAATCCCACTCCTACACATTTGCCTAATAGAAATGAAAATATGTAAATTCATAAATACCTACACAAGACTTGCATAGTACCTTTATCTACATATCCCCCAACTTGCAAGCAACCCAATTGTCTCTAAAGAGGATAGCAGATAAGCATATTGCTGTCTATGAATCCAACGGGTGCTCAGCAACAGAGAGAAAGAAATCACTGCCACATGCAATAACGGCATGGGCTCTGCAGCCGTCATGCACGTTAGACATAGACAGCCTGAGACTTCATGCAGTATCGTTCAATTCACATCAAATTCTGTCACATCAATGAAAACATCTTTATTTCAGATGCTAAACAATAAAACAACTTTATTTCAGATGCTAAAATGTTTCTTACATAGTAAGGGTTACATTGTTTTTCATGAGCAGTGTGTAAGAGTTTCTAATGTGTGTCTTCAGCAATGCTTGATGGCACAACGGCAGACAATGTGTAGGCTTCTAGAGGTGATGAGATTAGTCCAGTTCTTTTAGTGCGGAGGTGGCAGCATTGTGCACATTTACCAAAGTTTATCAAGCAGGAGACTTAAAATAAGTGAGTTTGGTATAACCACATTATATTCCAATAAGCCCTATTTTTTGAAAGGGAGATCTCATTGTAACATGGGAATTCTTAGATAATAGAATTGTTCTAAGTGTGTTGAATGAAGAAATTTTAAAACGTTGGCGAAGTATATAAGAGAAAACAAGAAGCCAATCTCACTTAAAATATGTGTCGCAAATTCTAAACGAAATGCCAGGAAATCGGATTTAGCACTCTAGCTAAAGAAGCATGCACGGCAAGGAACAGGTTTCCTGCAGAAATCAATATAGAGAATATCTACTAAATAATTGATCACATCCATACATAAAAAGAATACGCCATGTAATTCTAAAATCATATTCCATCAAGTTTACTTATATCCTTGGTCAGTTTTTAAACTCCTAATAAAATGGGAATAAAATTCATCTTGAGCATAATAGAATGTTCTCTAGCCTTCTACACAGTTTTTCACATCACAGTGACATCTCAGAGACCCTCAGCTACAGCAGGGATGAAGAGCAGAGTACCTGCTATTAGACTTTACCATGTGCCCGTGCTTCTAAACGCTTCTCAGACACAGTGGAAGAGAAGCACACATCCGGGAAGCTAGGGCAGTCTTGTTAATAACATGATTTTCTCCTCTCTACTTATTTGTTTCTTTGCAATGAGGTCTTACACTGTAGCCCAAGACAACTGGAACATACTATGTAGCCCAGGGTGGCCTTGAATGCATGGTGATCCTCCTGCCTCAGCCTCCTTAGTACTTGGATTACAAGTGAGAGGCTCCATGTTCAGCAATGCCATGATTTTATACTTAGTGAGGAAAAGACATGAGAAACTACTTAGACAATTAGAACTAAAGATCATGTCCAGTGATTGACATATATACAGAAATGAACTGGGTTAGAATGTTGTAGCTAAGACATTCTAATTATATAACAGTATAATGTCATGTGCATAAGCATTTAAGAATTTAGGTGAAAAAAAATTTTTCTGAGAAATAAAAAAAAAGAGAGACTCGACTCAGTAGAGACATGATGTTTTTTGAAGGGAAGTCTGTGATAAAAATGGCACTATCGTAAAAATAGCTATTTGTCTCTAACTAATTTCAAATGTAGTTGTTTGTGACCAAAATAAAATGGTTGTTTGGGAAGAAAATTGGACAAATCACCAGCTGACAACAGGAGAGACAGTTTTCAAAAGGTCGAAACTGCAACTGTGCCTTACTATGCTGTGTGAGGAGACAGGAGACAGGGTAGCACAGGTAGGTCGGGGAAGTGAAGAGGAAACTGAGAACCAATTAGTAATTCCATTCACAACAGACAGAGCATGAGGAACAGTACAAACAGCTGTGAATAGTAAAACATGATTCCAAGGAAACTGGTCTGCTGTACTATTTTAGCAGTAAATAAATGAAGCTTCGGAATGTCACAGGTGTAAGTCAATCATAGCTACGCAGGTGACTTTGAACTACAACGGAAAAAAACAACAACCTAGGATTATGGCAATTGAGCCAGGAAGCAGCATTTCTCCACATTCTCTGGTTCAGTTCCTGCCTCCAGGCTCTAGCCTTGAGTTCCTGCCCCGGCTTCCTTTCCTGATGCACAGTAAGCTGTAAGATGAGATAAAGTCTTTGTCTCCCCCCACAAAAAGAGAAGTAGGCGTACCCACATTTAGAAAGGGGAGAGTATGAAATTAAAACACAAAGAAAAGTATTGATGACATCATTCTAAATGTTTTTAAATTCTTCACCTCAAAAACATGGCATGGCCAAAGTTGGAAATCAGGTGACACAGCTGTTAAAACATCTGCAACCTACAGAAATTGATGCCGCTTCCTCCTGGGCACTAGCTAACAGAGCGCTCACATCTGTGTCACTTGCCATTGAATTTCCTCAGAATCGTATCTAGCATGTGGTGCATACTTTCAAATGCCTTATGAATGAATTTATGCATCTCCCAAGTACATAAAGAGTACTTGCAACCAAACTAAAATTAAGCACAATGAACAGAATAGATATGCAAATAGTTGTGAAAAGGAAGATGTGGTCACTGTGTACATTAAACACTCACAAGAAAGCAAAGCTAGTAGATCAACAGTGGAATTTCTATCACATCATAAAGACTCTAAATCTCTCAATGCTTATCTTTATTTGTATATGAATGTATGAGGGGGTGGGTTTACACAGCCCCCTCAACGTCCAGAAGAGGGTGCTAGATCCCCTAGAGCTGGAGTTACAGGCAGGTGTGAGCCACCCAACATGGTGCTGGGAACAGAACCCTGTAAGAGCTGGACACGTTCTTAACTACTGAGCCATCTTTCCAGCCCCAGATTTCAAAAACTCAATAAATAGAAGGTGACCACTTAAAAATCACAGAAAATTAACAAGTGTATATTATCTCATGTATTTAAAATCACTTTATAGCCAGGTGGTGGTGGTGCATGCCTTTAATCCCAGCACTCAAGAGACAAAGGCGATGGATCTGCACATTTGAGGCCAGCCTGGGCTACAGAGCAAGTTCGAGAACAGGGCTACACAGAGAAACCCTGTCTCAAACAAAACAAAACAAATATAAACAAAAGAAAACACACAAAAAAAAATCACTTTATAAAGCACTATTCTAGCACGCCATCAATTTTATTGACAGCTATGTTCTTAGATCCATGCTTTACACGTGTGATATTTTAAATTAAAATATTCAAATACTACTTTGCAGAACATCTAAAGAAAGGAGCCTCAGATGGGATTTAGGCCTCCTGGTCTTCAGCCTTGGTTCAGTGCATTTTTCCATTGAATAATCTCACTAACTCCTCTCCATTTATAATGGACAAAGTGGTTTGAATTAACCCCATTCATGTCTATCAGATATCATTAGATGGCAGGATTAACGGGGGAGGGTGTATAAGTGGGAGCAAGCAGTTTTCCAAGAGCTCTTCCTAGCTATCATTCTGGGACATCCTTATCATACTTGCAGGCAGTGAGAATCCCAAGCATTCAAAATTATTTTTCTATCCATTCTTGGATAAAATGGTCTCAAGCGGAAAAGCGCTCAATGGCCACAGGGGTGTGAAAGGCTAGTAAAGTGCTATCTTCTGAAATGAATAGCTGGATATAAGCCCATTTCCTAGTTCTGTGTGTTGGGGGCATCCTGGAGAAATGACCCTCAGTGGCACCCAGATTATTCTTCCTAAATATCTTTCTCCAATTTAAAAAAAAATAAAAGAGCCAGTCTTCTTAGAGAGATGTTTGTCCTGGGGCTGGGAAATGGGAAATAGACAATAAACCTGTACCTGGTTGGAACAGGCCAAAGGGCTGCCGGCATCAGCCTAGAGGTGGTTTAATACGTCAAAGCTAGAATGATTCAATCAACAAAATAAAGCATGATAATATTGGATTGTCACCGACAAACTATAATAGATATTCAAAAGAGCTAAGTATGTAAATAAATGAAGGGGAAGGCACCCCTTGTTTAGAGAAGCACATTACAGTTGTTAATAATCTACTTTAAAAAAGCCTCAAGTGCCCTGCGGATATTGGCTGTTGGCTCCCTTCTCCTCATTTGAAGTAGCAAACAGAATCTGAGAGGGTTTTTTTAATCTCAGATCAGAAACATTAACTTTTTTAAAGGTATATAGAATTTTCATTTTCAAACAAATAGCACAGTGATCCCTTTCACTGTCAAGCTGTGTTGGCCAACAAATCAGAGAGCTGACAGACAATCCCTTCCTCAAGTAACCACCAGTCGCAAGACAGCCACAGTAAGTTTTCTGTAAATCTAAAATTATTAACTACAGTTTCAAAGAAAACCCCAGTGTTCTGTGGGTACACCTTTTGTTTTTTTGTTAACTTAAAATGGCAATAGGACCTATGAGGGTATTTTAAGGCTAGTTTAAAACATTCGTTTACCTCTAAGTCAGAAGAATGATTCATTGTCTCAGTCTGAAAATGGGAAGTCCAATGTCATCCCTCCCCAAGGACAAAGCAGGAAGAGGTAGTCTGTGCAAGATGTCTGAAGGCAGAGTGAATGCCCCCACTTTCTCTTGGGGAGGGAGTCTCATCGTGTCCCTTACCTCCCATTCATCTTCTTCAGAGGGACCTCTTAACTCCTGTTTAGCAAGAGAAACCCTAAGCAAAACCTAAATTCTGTCACCTAAGAAGATATGACCTCACAGTCCCAACAATATGTACCTCCATGTCCCCTTCCAGGAGATGATGGACATAGTCAAAGCCATCTATGACATGATGGGGAAATACACCTATCCTGTGCTCAAAGAGGACACTCCCAGGCAGCACGTGGATGTCTTCTTTCAGGTACGTATGTACCTGTACACGGACTTATCCTGATTGGCCAGGAGATGCTCCTGAGAATCAGGCCAGTGTTACAGAAGAGAAGAGGAGTGCATCGTCATTAGCTACAGTGATAAATTTCATAAAAATCTTTTCAGGGGTTGAGTGGAAAGAGAAGACTTTATCCATTGCATCTGTGTACTTATTGAACAGGTTTAGCTGGGCTGCAAAGGGGAATACAATTGGAAACCTGGTTAAAGCCAGACTGCAAGAGCCTTAAGTGGGATAGTTCAGCCTTGATCTAGTAGAGGATGGGTGGATACTGCCGACTGAGTGCAGAAGTGGTACCTTCATGGGTGCACGTAATCAAAAAAAAAAAGTCTAGCAATAGAGAGTAGTAAAGAATGTCAGAGTTCACTCCAATCCAAGCTAGAAAAACAGAGCTCTCTGATATCCTGAAAGTTTGCACAGAAAATCTGCACAGAGATAGGCCAGAACCCGTTGTTCCTACTGTTCTTTCAGCCAGATAAAGAGCAGCAGAAAAGTGTGCAGAACACATGTGTTACAGTTTGGAAACGGTTTGGGTATATGACGCCTGTTCCTCAGTGTGGCAATGTTTAAGGTCATGCAATCTTCAGTGGGTGGGGCCTGAGGGGAGGTGACTAGGTCCTGGGGAGCATTGCCTCAGAGATATTAGTGCTGTCATTGTTGTGATCCTGAGTTGAATGACCACATCTGGCCTTTCCTCATTTGTTGGCTTCCTGTTTCAGTGTGTGACCTCTCCCACAAGTGCCCACTGTGAAGATGCCATCCCCCATGAGGCTCTCCCTAGAGAGAAACTGGTGTTGTGCCCTTGGACCTTGACAGTAATTGTTCTCAACCTGTGTGTCATGACCCCCACTGACAAACCTCTATCTCCAAAATATTTACATTACAATTTATAACAGTAGCAAAATTAAAGTTATGAAGTAGCAATAAAATCACTTTATGGCTGAACTCACTGCAACATGGGGAAGGTATTAAAGGACTGCAGCGTTAGGAAGGGTGAGAACCACTGCTCCAGAATAGTAAGATGAATAAACCTCTTTTCTTTATTCAGTACCTACCCTCGGTTATTTTGTTATAATAACAGAAACAGACTACTACATGTTGGAATAATAATAATGTAGCAATGATGTAAGTGTTGAGACAAAGCTTTTGATGTAAGGAAGCCCATGAGGACCATAATACTATAACCAGGAATCAACTGACTAGCAAAAGACCATCCTAATTCTGGAGTGAACACAGAGCAAATTCTGAAATGTGAAATATCAGGTTCTTTAAAGACCTCTCTATTGTGTCTTTCAGAAAATGGATAAAAATAAAGACGGCATTGTAACCTTAGATGAATTTCTTGAATCCTGTCAGGAGGTAAGGACACAATCGTTCTAGGGAAGGGAATGGGGGGGGGGAGACTGTAGAGGGGAGGGTCTGAAATCTGCACACATCTACACCCCTGGACTCAGAAGCCTAACATCTCCATGCCTCGGCCTGGCTGGCTCAGCACAGAACTGAGCAGATAGCAGGAGAACAGGTTTGGGAGATGTGAAGGCCCATATGTCATCGTGAAATAGACTTGCTGAATAGGTGGCCCTGACCTATCCATTGTCATAAATGCCTAGGACCAAGGTAGCTTGAACTTGCTTATGCAAACCAGACTCCTTGAAGCTTCTGTTAAAATGCAAACAAGGCCTGCCAAGATCCAAAGCCAGGCTTGCTTTGTGCACACTCCTCAGGAGACACTGCTGTTCCTTGGACCGTGTTTTGGTTACGTCTCATGAATAAACTGGCACTGGTGTCCTGCCAAGCACTGACTGGAAATCTACTCCATCTACTTCCAAGGTTTATGCTCCACCTCATTCCACAAAACCAGAGTCTAAGCTCCCCCAAAACCCTGCAGTGCCAGGAAGAAGAGATTGTATTAGCACACAGAGAGGGAGAAACAATACTAATCTCAAGAAATGGAGAATAAAAGAGAACTTTCTCAGCTTGCTTGATCAGGTTATCACAGCCCTAGGATGGGAAGTTGCAAGGTTGGCTTAATACCCAGGAATTAATCAGTGTAATCAATCACAATAATCAAATAAACAGGGAGAGCTGTGACCAAACTGCACAGATGTGGAAAATCATTTCATACAACCCATCGATGGAGCATCTTAAAGGAAAACAACGCACTGTTCCATGGGGTCATTTTTCTCCCCTAAATGCCAGCTTAGTGCCACTGGCCTTGAGGTGATGGCTAGCTGGACCTCTGGCCCTTGTTTCTTGTTTGTAATGTTGCTGCAGATTTCCTTTGGCAGAGGATCCCCACTCTTGAGATTTGCTCCGAGTTACTGAGATTTGCTCAGAGTTACAGGAGCCTCACATGGCTATAACCATTCTCTCTCCCACTTCTCTCTCCCCAGGATGACAACATTATGAGATCTCTACAGCTATTCCAAAATGTCATGTAACTAAGGACACTGGCCATCCTGCTCTCAGAGACACGGACAAACACCTTGATGCCCTGATCTGCCCTTGTTCCAATTTTACACACCAACTCTTGGGACAGAACTCCCTTTTACACTTTGGAAGAATTCTCTGCTGAAGACTTTCTACAAAATCTGGCATGACATGGCTCAGTCTCTGATTACCAACTCTTCCTCCTTCCTCCTCTTGAGAGGGATGAGCTGAAATCCGAGTTTGTTTTGGAAGCATGCCCATCTCTTCATACTGCTGCCCTGTGGAAGGCCCCTCTGCTTGAGCTTAAACAATAGTGCACAGTTTTATGCTTCTACATTTCCCCAACTCATTGCCTCCAAGTCAGGCAGACCCTGATGAATCTGAGCCAAATGTGCACCATCCTCTGATGGCCTCCCAAGCCAATGTGCCTGCTTCTCTTCCTCTGGTGGGAAGAAAGAGCGTTCTACAGAACGATCAGAGCTTACCATGAAAATATCGGGAGAGGCCTAACACATGTAGAATAGGACTGAATTATTAAGCATGGTGATATCAAAGGATGCAAACTGCCCATGTCATTTTTTTTTTCAGACGTAGGGACTAATAATTCTCCCACACTAGCACCTGTGGTCATAGAACAAGTCTCTTAACATGCCCAGGAGGGAAACCACTGTCCAGTGACCTATCCCTCCTCTCCATCCCCTGCTCAAGCCCAGCACTGCATGTCCCTCCCAGAGGGTCCAGAATGCCTGTGAAACACAGTACTTTTATAACCTGTTCTAATCAATAAACAGAACTATTTCATACACTCTCAATTACTTCTTCTATGACTCCATGGCTCAAGAGACGCAAGTTGTGACAAGGGGTGGTTAGCCCACCCATTTGGCCTTGGGTTACTAGTACTTTCTTGGGGCCACATGCCTTCACCCTTAAACCATCCTCAGTAAAATCCAGTTCAAATGCAGACACTGTGACCATGTGCAAATGCAACTTCAAGACAACACCTCCGTTCTAATACGTTTGGTCCTCCCAAGACTTCAATATGAAAATCCTCAACCCCTTATGATGCAACTAGAGATACAGAGCTGAAAAGGACCAGGCCTCTCTGCTGACAGTGTAGAGTCCAAAGATTGATCAAGTAGTTCCATCTTATAACCATAAAATGATTACTTGGGCCCAATCCCATGAACCTTAGTTTTCCCAGTGTTATCACATTAAATATTTCCTAACACATTTAAAAGATGCCCTAATAAAAGCCTACTTGAAAAGGTTTATGGAAGTGCTATTATCTGTCAAGGGCTGCATTACAAGTTTTATAAATAGTCTCTTATTCCATGCTCATGGTAGAACATTCCGGAAGGCCGTTTCTTGGTTTTACTTACAAGGACCCTAAAGCTCAGAGGGGTAAGGGGACCTCCTCCATGTAGCACCCCACTCTGTAAGAAAAGTCCCCTTGATCCAAGAAACTGAGAGCGTTTCCCACAAATCTCAATCACTATAGTCATTTAAGAGAGATGCAGTGTTCTGGTTTCTTCTCTAATGGTTGGATCATGAGCATCAGGCTACCTTACAGCTCTCCAGGTGACACCAATGTGCACCTAAGGTTGAGAAGTCTGAATCTAGGATAAAGGAAGGACTGGTACCTTTATCCCTATGTTTGCCAGACCACAGTAAGAAGCTAAAATGAGCCCAAAGCCCCCTCAGGATGTTCAGACAGAAATTAGAATGGCAAGATTCAAAACATTCTTCAGATTAACAATCAGACGAAAGGAAGAGGATGCCCCAGGTTGTCGGCACCAGTGACACTGGCCCTGTCTCAAGTTTGTCTTCCTGAATCACCCAAAATGATCACCACTTGCCAGTCAACTGTAGAGTAGATGCTGAGGCTACCTTATCCACACTCCCATTCCCCCAGGACTCACCATCTCTGTGCAGGTGGGCTCAGCTGCTACCAACTGCAAGTGTCAACTCTTTGGCAGAGGGGTCTCTGGCACAGATGTACTCTGGTCATGAAAGTCCCACTCTGCCTGTGGGCAGAACAATGTGGAATAAGTAGGCCATCAGAGTATCTGTAATAAGAGGACCTAACCCCATGTCCACTGGTAGATAATGGATTAATACCTCACATCCTTCCCCTCTCAGTAAGGAATCTTGGAGGTCTCCTCTGTCTCCTAGCATCCTCAACAACACTGCCCTCAATTTCCCACAGTAGTAACTTACAATCAGTCAGATAGATATGTGTCCTGCTTTCATGATCCTAAACTCTAGTGAGAGGAAACGAATAACAAAATTATTTTCAATGAGGTTAATAGGGGTGTGTCATGATAGAGGCGAGGCTGGATACTTTATATAGGGTAGTAAAAGATACAGCTCTGAAGAGCAGATAGCTCAGCTTCATGTCACCTCCAGCTAAGAAATTCTCTGTGCATATATTTTAAGTCTTGCTATGGCTTGGACATATCCTGAATGTACCCCGACACACACCGAATAATCCTGTGCTGGGACTGTGGTCTTGTTACTGAAGTATTGGGTGGTGTTAGAGCCTTTAAGATGGGGAAGTGGTACAAGACAACTAGGCACTAGTTGTGCTGTCCTTGGAAGGAATTTATGTACTTCTTATAGGACCTTAGTTAGTTCTTGAGAGCGGTTTGTTATCAAAGAGCAAATTTGGCTGCTCCCCTGTACTCTGGCTTTTTACTTTGTGATCTTTTTTTACTGTGTCTTGCTATGTGACCGTTCCCGACACAATGCCATCTACCACTGGAGGCTAGCTATAGAAAGTGAACCAAAGGGCTATCCAACTTGGCACTTACAGCCTTCAAACCTGTAACCTAAAAAAAAACAAAAAAACAAACAAAAAAAAAAAAAACAAAAAAAAACCTTTTCTATAGGAAGCAGCTAGCCTCCAAGATTTTGTTACAGTAGCAGGACGCACACCAACACAAGCTCCGTAACAGCCCTGTTGTCCTAGGAATCTGTTTTGCAGATGAAAAGCTGGTTCCCAGAAACATTGAGGTATCTGCTAACATAGCTGGAAGTAAGCTTAGCCAACCTCCAATATCCACACCAGTTTTACTTCTGGGAGAAGCTGAAGCTTAGCCCTGGCTTTATTGACACACAAACACCAGCAAGAGTTGGAAAGCAGCTGCCATGAAAGCTACTAGTAAAAACAGCCATAAAAAAGTTCATGAGTCCAAACCAAATCACGCTTTCTCTATGGAAAATAAAGCCAAGAATCAGTGTTAAGACAGCCATATGGTTTCTTGGAGAACCTCATGTAAGAGGTCTTTCCACATCAAAACAAAGATCAACTCAACTGTACATCAAAACAAGCTCTGTGCTCTAGTCTAAAACTTGGAGTTGAGGACACTCTGATGGCAGCCAACCCCACTGAGTGGGACTCATAAAATGCTAGAGAGATGACTACACTCCAGTTCTATGATGAAGCACAGGAAAGTATACCGGGCCAACCAACTGTTACCTCCCATACCACTGGCTACAAGGATTGGCTTGGGAATAGACTTAAAACAGGAACCAATCTTAAGGGATTGCCATCGTTTTGGGATATAGATCTGATGCTATCAGCCCTAACCATTTTTTCAAAAGAAAGCTGAAAATCTGTATTTGTAAATAAAATTTTAATATGGATGCCAACCAGGTGTTAAAAATACTATGTAGCATAGTCTAAACCTAAAAGTTGAACTTGGTGCAAAGTCTGCACTAAATCCTGTTAGTGTTTTTCCCCAGAAACAAAGGACTGTGGTCTATCAAGATGCTACACAACTATCATCAGCCACTGAGAAAGAGTAACTCATGCCAGTAATTTTATAACTTACAACCGTGTTGTGGTGGATAATCTCTATTGTCAATTTGTCTATATTTAGAGACTTCTAAGAATGAAAGCTCTAGATATGTAGTCTCTGAAGGCATTTCCAGAAAGTTTTTAACTGGGTAATGAAGTCCCACTCTAAATGTGAGTGCACCTTCCCATGGGGCGGGTTCCCAGACTGGATAAAGAGACCACGGTGGGCAGAGCCCCAACATTCATCACTTCTTACTTCCTGAGTGCAAATCCAATATGGCTGACATTCTCACTCATCCTCTACCATATCGTCCCAGCCGTAAGGGACTGTGTCCCCTCTTCCTCTCCAAGTTATTTTTTCTCAGTGTTTCCTCATAGCAACAGAAATAAAACAGGAACAGTGAGCTTTAAAATGCAGACAAGCTAAGTATGAAAGCAGCTATCATTGGTAAAGAGGTTACCTTTGAGCCCGGCCAAAAGAAAGGTACCCGTGAAAGCTTTTGAAGAGGTGAATTCATTCTAAAGGAGAAAACTTAGGCTGAAAATGCCACTGAAAGGGTCTCATGGTGTAAGCAGCTACCTAGGCAAGCATTTCTCAGACTGAGCCTCAGATGCTCACAGGGGCTACTGTGTCTACAGTGCAAGGAGACCAGGCCACACCTCGCACTGATGGTGGCAGGATGTAACAGTACCATCTACGCGGCACTAACTTGGTAGATGTTATCCAAGCAAAAGTGAGACAGTCGTGAAGGCTTACATCAAGCTTCTAGAAAACTCCATGGTCGTATCTCAAGCAAGGAACCCTCGAAAGTCGACTGCATGGAGCTGGGAAGCCAAACCCTAGCCCTCAATGGAGACTTCAAAACATCGAAGATGGCAGACGATGGAGCATCCACTGAGGATAGATGCACACAAAGTGTCGAGCAAGGCCATATTTGCTGTAGGGCAAGGCTACCCAAAGGTACTGGAGCTCAGCTGATTCAATCTTGAGTCCGACTGCCCTGCTGGGTTTGGATCTTCCTTTGTCTCAATTTTCCTTTTATTCTTCCACTCCTCCCTTTTAGAATAGACGTGTTAAATGGGAATCCTCACTCTGGAATATTCTAGCCCCAAAAGTGTGTAAGCTATCTTTTGATTGATAGAAGCTTATAGTTAAGAGCTTGTCTTATGTCTCAGAGGAGACACTGGACTCTTGAACAATGTTAGTAGTGTTATTGAGTGTGGCGACTTTAGGTTTAATGAATTTTTCATTGTTACATGAAAATGAGACTTTCAGCATTGGAAATGGGATGTTAGTATTTAGTGATGTGTTCAGGTGATCGGTCTTTGTGTAAACTTGACTAAACTTTAAATTACCTAGGAAACAAATATTTGGACATGTCTATGCAGTCATTTCTAAAACTATCTGTGTAGACAAGCTCCACCCTGAAAGTGAGTGGCTTTCTCCCATTGATTGCCATCACCAGTCTGAATAAAGGGAAAAGTTAAAAAAGTACCAGCATGCATATGCTCTGCCTCCTGAGGACAGATACAAAGTAGCCAGCTTCCTCAGGTTCCCACCACTATGCCTTCACCCCATGATGGACTGTTTCCTTTCTTAAAATAGGAGTGAAATACAGCTTCCCTCCAGTTTCTTTTGTCAAGCATTAAGTCACCCACCAAACGACAGGTGTAAATACGACTAGAGAAGTTGTCTAGAATCAGAAGGTATCAGTAAATTGTAGTTAGGGATAATGATGGAGGCTGCCAAAATACAGTGTAGATGGGTCACCAATACAGGCCGATGTCAGTAAAGCTCCCCGGGGAGGCTAGGGCTCCTCCGCTCACATCTCCAACCTTTCCCACAGCTTCAACAGTCCAAGAACTGCATGCAAGGGTGACCACAGAGGCAAACCCATGTACTCATATCGCTCTTCCGTATTAGCAGCTAATTTCCTCACTGCTGTGACCCAACACCTGACAAAAATCCACCTAAAGAAAAAAAGAACTTATTTGGGAGTTCGTTAA